TGCTGCTACGGCTACTGCTACGGCTACTGCTACTACGACGACGACGACGAGCTGTTCGAAGCGGTCTTTCTAGTAGTACTCGTCTGAGGTTTTATCGTAGTCCCGACACTCATACTAAATTCGTTCTTACCGAGACCTTCAGGCTTTTCTGCGCCGTGGCAAAACAATCCGGTTCATTCCATCTGCCATTCTAACAACTATGCCGATAGCGGGGAACGCATATGCTGTTCTTGAATCGCTGGAGAAGTCACCCCAAAACCAAAAGCCCTAAACCAACAACCCGCATCTCAAAGTTCTCACAAGCGAAAGCCTTGGCAACATGCTTGATGATACCCTCTGATCAATACACCCCTAAGCCCCTTAAACGTGAAAATCCGTCTGGAATGGTACCAAAAACCAGCAGCCCAGGCACTTACAGCAGCCGTCACCCAGCAAATTCTCCTGGACATCCAAGGACAGCCAGCTGACTTCCGAGTGCGAGCCTGCTTTGGCGGCGAATAGGGCTCAGTACTTGTGATCTTGGGGTTTAGGGTTTGGATCCTGTTGGGCACTGTACCTCTATTGCTGAGCTGCAATTTTCACAGGTTCCTTAAAGCAAGCCCGAATCTCGAACGGCGTGCAAGCTACCATACGAGATCGAAGAGTTGTCAGTTCAGGACTGGGGGCTCTGGGATATGAGCTTCGAAGTTGCTCGGCTCGTGGCTGCAGCGATGAAGGCTGAGGGGATCGGATTTCGTGTTTCAGGTAGAGTAAAGGGATAAAGGACTCATGCGGGGTGTCGGCTGGACGGCAACGATATTACGATGAAGGATTCCGTGGGGATTCTGACAATCCCCGAAACTTAACAACTGAGACTTACGTGTACCAGTAACTGGCGCCATCCGTTAGGCTCCGGCAACTCTACATTGTGACAGGGCTCTAGATTCTGACGCGTCGCTTCTGGGCTCGGGACATGCACATTGATGGGCTTGACGAATCAAACGCTTGTTCGCCTGGGGGTATATTAGAGCAATGGTTACAATGAGGAACCCAAAGGAATAGTCCAGAATAACCAACATAGAAATAATACAATCGAAAGAAACACTAAAACACACACACACACACACTCACCGTCCCAGCCGCCTAATCGCAGGATGTAGTGGGTGATGGCGGTCGGCACGGCCAGCACGAGCCGCGTCGTTAGCTGCGGAACCGTCGCATTGGGCGGTGCACCAAAGAGGCTCGTGTTCCTGGGGCACTTGTCCTAGCCCCTCTTACCCCTAAACCCGTAAAATGTTCCCCCTGAACCCATGATTGCTTGCGTTTGTCTTAGGGTTTAGGGCTTTAGGGTTTAGGGTTTGGGGTTTGGGGTTAGGGTTTGGGATTTGGGTTTAGGGTTTAGGAGGCGGCATTCAGCTTCCTATAGATGTAAGACCATGGGAGTTCAGAAGTTGCGACTGACTGCCCCGAAGCTCGAAGTGCTAACAAGTCGAAGCCCACATGTTTCCGATTTCGAGTTAGGTTTCGAGTTATGAAGGCTTATGAAGGGAGCTTGAGGCGAGCCGCGCTGGCAGCCGAATACCATGTGGCAAAAGGAAAGTACCCGGCGCGAGTGTCGCCTGCTGCTGGTCTTGCAAGCAGCCTGAGTGCAGGGATTAGTGACAGTTATTTTCGGTTGGGTTCGGGATTTTACGCGCTTGCACGAGCCCACCAGACCGAAATCAGAAAATAAATGATTCACCCTACGGGAGCTCCCGCACTGATATTCATGCGATCCAAGCGTCCGGTGATGGTGTTGTAGTTTACCTGGTTTAAGGCTCGGTTCGGGGTTTTGCACAACAAGCCGAAGCGCACTCCTCTGCATGTTCGGATAAAGAATCTAGGGCAAGCTTCAACTGAACCCCTACATCCCTAAATTTCAAAGCCCTCAAACCGCTCCTTTTACGCAATAAGGGCCCCTTTGTGGGTTGAAGGCTTTCGGGCAAGTTTTGATCTTCAGAGAGTGGGCACAAACCGAAGAGGCCCTAAGCCCTAGGCCCAAACGTTTGGGGTCTCGGGCCCAGGGTTCAGAGGTTACCTCGGACGCACGCGAAATCCCCCAACATCCCGAACAGATCGCCCCCGAAGCACAGGCTCCAATCCTGGGTGGCTCCAAGCTCCCAGTTCCTCAACTGCATTTGGTTGAGCCCCTGAACCTGAAGGTCTCATCAACGGGCCTGGGCGGAAGCTGCAGGGAGGATCTGGTCGCAACTCTGACCTTTCCGGCGCAAGACGATCAAAAAACCCTTCGGATCCATTGACTTTCGCCCCAAAACTTTGTAAATTTGTGTGTCTAGGGATAGGATGTTAGGCTTCAGGCTCGCAAGGACCGGAAGCAGCCTTCTAGCCAGAAGCAGCAACTATAAATGAAATGGTTTGGGATCGCAGGGGAGAAGCCAATGGACTGTTCGAGACTAGCAGGATGGGAGCAAACGAGACTGGGCTGCGAAGACAAGGAGCCCTTAGTCTCATGTAGAACCACAGAGAATGTGCCTGCCAGTGTCGCTCTGCTCCGTTGTGCTATCACCATACTCCATTGGTCCGAAGTTGCGATCGAATCCCTTCAAAAAATGTTTCACTGACCTATGGAGTTGTTTCAGCCGTTGCGTTCGGGCACCGTGTACCTAGATCTTCCGCAGCTTGCAGCAAAACGCTGCGTAGATTCGGGGTAACTGTAGTTCAACTAGCCGAGCTCCTGATCGAAGTAGTCCGGAGCACTCAGTCTCCCTACGACTTCGAATCAATGCCCTCCAAACCCTACACCCACAACCGGCTGTGAGCCCTAAAGCCCCAAGATCGCAATGCGAAGAGCTTCAGACGACCCAGACGAACCTTGTTCAGGTTTTGGCGGGCCCAAGGCCTCCCCCCAAGGTGCCCAGCAGAAGCACGGCGATGGCGCAAAGGTGCCGGCCACGAGCCATAACTTTATTTGTCAAGACGTGTTTATGAGGGCTTAGGTTTCAGAGTTTTGGGTTCAGGAGCTACTCTTCCAGGTGTCGTAGGCTTGCTGGGTTTGGAGCGTGTCAGAGCCCCGAGAACGGAACGGCTTTGCAACTTCGCAAATCTTCAAGCCCGAAAAAGCTTCAAAGCCAAACAGTAGTCGGCCAACCGACAATAAAGCTTAATTATGATTTGGAGCTAAGTGCTTGGAACTCTTTGCTTCAGGAAGACAAGTACCACGATCGAAAAGTCGGAACGATGAACTCAAAATGAATCCAAGGCAAACGTATCGAATCACAACAAAAATGACAGCGACAACGCCGTCAAGTGTCCCTTCAAGTGTGGTTGTTGATACAGATTTCAGAGTCAACTCAGGCGCGGCGCGCAATATTTCACAATTGTTTGCGGTTCTCATCGGTCGTGACTAGGAATGGCACGCAACGAGGCGTGCTGACACACTGGAGCCGCTTTAGACCGACGCTTCGACATTGTGTCTTCGACTCTTAGCCAAGCTCCTTCAAGCATCCAGCGCGTGCTCGCTCGCCTCGCCGTCGCGCTACGTGGTAAAACAAAGTTCATTCTTAGCAATGCGCAATGTTGGGTTCAAATAAAGAGTTTCCAAACTCTGGCTCCGTGACAGATCGATGCAGCAGATTCGGAAAGCACCCACGGAACGACATTGTCGGCTGGATAAACTCCTGGCCAACGGTAGTGAAGCCAAACCATGACCTTAAACCCTAAACCAACCTAAAATCCACACTCTTAAGCTTATAGGTGCCTTGCACCATCAGCTGAAACTCGAAACTTTCAGCTCCAAATTCACAAATCAAGCTGAAAGCTGCCTCGGATGCTTTTAGTCTTGAACAAAATTTGAAACCTCAAGCGCTGGTGGCGATTCCAAACCGGTCGTTTGCATCCGAAGCTGTGTCCAGGTCGAGCTGGCGAAGCACCAGCATCTCACCGCTGCTTTGTTAAGGTGAAGAAGTATGTGTTTCTTCATGCAAGAATAGCCTGTACATCAGCTAGAGACCGCTCTGAAGTCTTATGACGCCAATTTGAAGATCTTGAATTTTCAAGAAAACAGGAAAGCAACTTGAAAGGTTGTTCCAGAAAAGCCAGTGCACTTAAAGTCCCACAAGTTGCTTCCAAAATAATGTATTTTCACAGCTTCTAAGACCACGTGGGTTGGACGGAGGCTGCAACGGATAAATTTTCTATAAGTGCGATATAACAAGCTGAGGCTGTTCTCTTTTGCACCAACCGAGGTTTTACTATCTACAAACCCTTTGTTAGGGCACTGGTGCATTCCGGCACACCGCATCGCAAATACCCATTATACGAACTTGGTTGGTTTTTGGGACACACCCTCGCAGCCGGCCGGACCTGCATAGCGGTTCTCCGGTGTTGCACATTGCCTCAAGGTGAAAGACAAAGCTTTTCTGCAGTCTTTCACGTGACATAAAAGCGCGAGTCTGCAACCATTCGCAACCATTCGATAGCGCACAGTTGGTGCGCTTGTAGGCAACACAACCCTTTGGATTTGCACCAGAAAAGCAACGTTAAAAATTGCATTGGGAACAGCTATGCGGCCTGGCAATGAACCGAAAGTTTTGGCAATCGCATCTGAAACCCACAGTACAACTGAGAGTATCCCTTTTGGGATTTCATTCTAGGTTAATGGGCATGCTCCATCATAGTTCGGCGAAAG